AGTGTGGAACCTCATTCAAGCCCTGGAGGCTTAACACAGCACTAGTAAAGAGAGAATTAGCTATAAATTATCTGAGTCTCGGCACAGAGCAATCTCCATTTTGACAGTTCCCTGCTAAATGGTAGAGCACTTTCCAGTGAGGCCTTGTGGTGGATACCTCAGTGGACACAGCACAGGACAAGGGCTTCAGAGAACTCAGTTCTACAGACAGGGTTGCAACTGACTTGCCAAATTATTTTCAGCAGGACTCACCTTCACTCTTTGTTGGCTGTAAAATGGGAGAGATTTGAGATTTATGGGTGAAAAGGATGGTGTAAGAATCTGGAATTCTTTCTCCAGTACTAAGTACTAAGCATTAATAACAAGAGCAATAGTATCACTTCCTTCACAGGAGAAAATCTGCATCTGCCCATTCTGTCACAATCCAGGGCTCTGGAGAAAAAAAAATTGCTTAGATGCAGACATTTTTTATGGAACATGAAGTGGGCACAGGGAGGAAGTGATACTAAGCTCTCAGCATGGGAAAATTTCATTCTGAGCAACATCTCCCAAGAAAATAAAGACTGCATGTAACAAAGTAGAAATGGAACTCCCCATTGTAAATTCAGCTCTTAGTACCTGCCAAAGACATGAGAAAATCTCTACCCACAGGGAATGGCTGTCCTTGTGAAAAAATGCCAGTCTTTCCCAATGAGGGAATTCACGCAGACATGCTTCAGTGATCAAACTCATGCTCTCAAGGTCTAAAGGAATTTCCACTAACCTCCTTTCTTACAGCTCAGTCTCTAGCTGGATTTCCTTCAACTACAAAAATATACATGGTGCAATTAGCCAGCCTACACAGCCTGTAGTTCATTTATGCATGCTAGGCACATCTCCTGCTGCGAGGAGCCCATCCAGAGAGAACTCTTTGAACTGCTCTATTGTTTCTCACGTAGTGTATTGCATTGTCCAGTTTGATCATTCCTGGCAAGGCAGTGCACTCCTGCAGCTTGCCACAGGAGGAGAAGAGATGATGGAGCACTTTGTCCAGCTGGTGCCCTGGACATCTCAGATGCACAAATAAGCTTGCCTATCACTAACTACAGGACTTTCCCAGTCACCACAGAGACCTTTATTGACCAGTTGTTCTTATATGACCTTACCTGAAAACCCCCTCTAATCTATAGTTAGTGGTCTGGAGAGAAGGCAGAAAAGAGAAGTAAGAAAAAGCTAGGTGAAAAAAAAAAACCAAAAAAAAAAACTAGAATAAATATTTTTTTAAAAAAATTAAACCAAGAACATATCGTGACACACCTTTGCACAATGTTTGCTGAACTAAAAACCCATGTCTCCATGGTTTAAAATACCATGGAGACAACATAACTGGATCAACCAAAAATACACTCACAACCACCAGACAGTGTAGCATTTTTCTACATTTAGTAAGGAATATTTTTGTAATTAGTAGCTTGAGCAAACTGCAAAGGACTATTACAACCTTATCTCCAAATACCCATTGGCAGACTATTTCCGAATTAAATGAGTGAAATACGACAGAAAATGGGAAACAAAGTGGATGGCATGATTTTCAAGCAACCATTCACATTTCTCCATTTGTCTTTGACTGGGTACTGTTTTGGGTAGGAAAAGAGGGGATCATACATCAAAAAAAGTCCTGCTCTGCTGATCTAAAGAGGAAGAGACATTCCATTTTAGAACAAAGAATTAGATTTTTTTAACATTGCTTCACTGGAGGTTTTTGGAGGTTTTTCTTGGGGTGATGGGGGTTGGGTGTTTGGCTTTGCTATAATACAGCACATCAAAGTGCTTTTGATGTGAAGTTTACTTAACAGAATCAGTTTTTCCGATGATTGTGTTAATCTTTATAAACCTGAAGGCGATACTGTGCCTTTTAAAAAACTATGGCAGGAAAAGACTTGAGGTTACATATACTCTCAGTGGTGAGAGACGGGAGTAGTTGGATTATTTCACCACTTCTCACAACTTTGCTTGTGTTTCACGGGCAGCATTAGCAATGGGCTTGATATTGCTCTCACTCAGGCCAGGAAGGTTCTATTTAAACCCCGCTTGGCCCTTTCATAAGCACCTTCATATATTTTCTCTGGTCAGAGCCACCAGAGATTTCAGGGGACAGTTTACAACAGGCACTGGCTCAGAGATAGCAAAGGGGCCTTGAGCCACAACAAGAATCAGTGCTGATCTCAGAAAGGTTCCCTGCTCCCACCCATTAATAGCTATCTTTGTATTATTTTGAGTACAAGCTTCTGTCCCCTCCTAAATCTTGCAAAACCAGCTTTGCCATCCACTCCTAGTCTTGAAGTGTGGCTGTGAAAAAGCTTCTGTTATGTCTGACGTGTTTACCTACAGCATTTGAATGACTTTTTAAGTTCTTTGAATAAAGATAAGAGACAATGTGTACATTTTCCACACAAATAGTGGAATGGTAATAAAATAAACATCAAAGGCAAGTTAGCAAATCATCGCTACTTCACTGCTATTTACAACAAAAGCAGGAAGAGGAAAAAACCTACCCTTGCCATTGGCATCATCATAGAAAATATGAGTTTTGGAAGAATTATACCTTTTTCCCATACCCTTAAACACAAACATTGGCACCTACAGCTAAGACAACACTTTACTGAAGGATTTCAGTTTACATTACATGGAGATGACAACAACAACAAGGAACCAAGAGAGGTCTCCCTCCTCTTATTTTTGTCTTTCTGAATTGCCTGCTTTTCTCAGCTGGTACAGCTTTTGTAAGAACAGCAAGATATCCAGTGTATTATTATTTCTACTAAAGCTGTCAAGAATGCAATGAGAAGGACAGAAGAATCTCTCACTCTTCAGTATTTACCATGTAAAGTCATGCAGACTGAAGAAATGGCAAAGCTTTGAAACAAAACGCAGGTGTGTGTGGGGGGGGAACATATATTCTATCCAAGAGAGATCAAGATAGAAAGCAGGGCTGTTTGTTTCTCCTCTTAGTCTTTTAAACCTGTCCTTTTTCATCCTCCTCTCCAATACTCCTTGAGAGCCAGACCACAGAGGCATAGTCCCTACCAGAGTGACCCTGCACCATGTATTTATTCTAAAATAAGGTCCGATTTAGAAAGACTGCTTTTGGAAAATATGGAGCAATCCAACTCTTACTCCAGGACACAAAATTCGAAGCATATATATGAGAAATAAAACATAAGCACCACACTGGATTTCTGCTGATGTTTTTGTTATTGTTTTGCAGACGCCAGCGCTACTGCCCTATGAAGTGAAACGGCATTTTGCAATGGACTCTGAACTGTGAGCAGAACAGGGAGTTTTCAGAGAAGCTACTGACAGTTAGCTCTCTTCATTGAGTTGTTGTATCTAGCATAATGTTGAAGGAAAAAAAAAAAGAAAACCAACTCTGAAGGAGAGCAAGTCCCTGACAACTTAAACCAAAAAACAAACACAAAAAGCGCGGCTAATTGTTTTAGAAAGAAAAGCGTTGAGGAAAAATTGCAGAATACGTTGTCCCAAGTTTTATGGGAAATTTACAGATTCGCAGCGATTCAAAAAAATCTTAGTTACCATTAAAAAAACAACAACAAACCAAAACCTCTACAAGAAGGAAGATTTTACTAGAGAGTGCCAATTGTAAGAGAGAGGTTACAAACACACCATCAAGAAGAGCTCAAGCAGCGCTACTACAGAAACAGTAGCACACATAAGGTTAAGGCTTTTACTAACTCTCTCATAGCAAAACTCCAAAGCATTGCCTACCTGTTTCCATTCTACCTCTGCACCAGGTGTGCTTATAGCAGAAGGAAAGAGAGACCAGGACTGAAACTATTTTGTCAGGTTACATAAATCATTAGGAATTCACAACTGCAAAGTCATGTATTATTTTCCAACAGGTTGTTGAGCTGTCATATTACAACTTGTTGCTTTATACGGCGCTATTAAAATAAATCACTGCACGTAACAGGTTCAGCTCTGCCACCTATAAGTCATTCTGCATTTTACACCTGGGAGGCGGGCCGGCTCTGCTTAGTCGCGCCGAACTGCGGCTTCGTTCGAAATACCCGGGAAGGGGAGGGACCTGGCAGGAGAAAACACAAACAAGTTTCGTAAAATAACTTTCCAACAAGACCTCGCTGTCATCTTGGCTAATCACGGCTCTGATACGGCTTATTAGGGCATACCCACCTTTGCTACCTTGCTTCTCCACCCACCACCCTTTCAGATCTTTGTCCTGGCTCCGCCTCTCGCCGGCGTTATAATGGGCTGGTCTGAAAGTGGTGGAGAGACACACAACCACAGGGGAAGGGAGAGATAATGACAATAACACTAATAACCCTAATAACCCGTCTGCTGCCCGCCTCGCAGCGAGGAGCCAGCCCGGCGTCCCGGCACTGACAGGTCGAAGCCGGAGAGAGCGGAGTAACCCCGACGGCCCTCGAGAGCTTCTCCCCGCGCCCGGGGAGCGCCGAACGGTAACAGCGGCAGCGCCCCCGAGGAGCACCGAGCCCGGGCGGACACGGAGAAGTGCCGGCTCCGGCAGCCGCCCGCCCTCTACTCGCACCGGCTCCACGGGGGCCGCCTCGCCCCTCTCCTTCTGCCCCATGGAGCGGCGACAGTAAACAGCGAGAAGGACAAAAAAGGGGGGCGAAAGGAGAGCGAGCACCCCAGTGGGGGAGAAGGAGGTGGAAGCCCGGAGGGATCGCCCAGTCCCGAGGGCGGCAGGGCACCGCCGCCCGTCCTCGGTGCCCACCGGCCGCGAAGGGGCCGGCCCCTGCCAGCGACCCCGGCCCGGCGGGCTGAGGCGGGCGCGGAGCCCCGCTGCCCTGCCCTGACGGTCTCGCCTGCCGCCGCGGAGCTGTCCAAGCCGGCGAGGGGACAGAAAGCCCCCGTGTCCCCTCGCTGCCTCCCGCCTCCCCTGAGGCCGCGCCGAGGGGCGGGGGTCGCGCCCGCCCAGCGGAGCCGCGGGGTGCGGGGGGGCCGGCGGCGCCATCGCCATGAAGCTGGAGGTGTTCTCGCAGCACTATGAGGACAAGCTGAGCGCCGGCAGCGACCAGGAAGGCAGCGGCTCGCTCTCCCCGGCTCCGGCGGAGAGCGAGCTGGGCTCGGACGGTGACTGCGCGGCCAACAGCCCGGGCGGCGGGGCCGGGCGGCCGGGGCATCCCCCGCCGCCGCCCCCCACGCCGCAGCCCCCGCCACCGCCGCCGGCCGAGAGCGCCAAGGGGAAACCCTACACGCGGCGGCCGAAACCGCCCTACTCCTACATCGCGCTGATCGCTATGGCCATCCGCGACTCGGCCGGCGGCCGCCTGACCCTGGCCGAGATCAATGACTACCTGATGAGCCGCTTCCCCTTCTTCCGCGGCGCCTACACCGGCTGGCGCAACTCGGTGCGCCACAACCTCTCCCTCAACGACTGCTTCGTCAAGGTGCTGCGCGACCCGGCGCGGCCCTGGGGCAAGGACAACTACTGGATGCTGAACCCCAGCAGCGAGTACACCTTCGCCGACGGCGTCTTCCGCCGCCGCCGCAAGCGCCTCAGCCGCGCCGCCCCGCCGCCGCAGCCCGCCCGCCCCGCCGCCGGCTCCCCGCCGCAAGTGCCGCAGGAGGCGGCCGGAGCGGGCGCCGCGTCCCCCGGCGCTTCCCCGCGGTGCTGCTGCGCCTCCTCGCCCTGTCGCTGCGCGCCGGGCGACAAGGAGGCAGCGGCGGGGGACGGCGGGGCGAGGCCGGCGGGCGGCGGCGCCGCCAAGTTCTCCAGCTCCTTCGCCATCGAGAGCCTCCTGCAGCGGCCGGCAGGACCCCGCGCCGCCCCGCAGCCGCCGCCGACACCCCGCGGCCGCCTCCTGTGGCCGGCGCCGCCCGCGCCCCCGCACCTGCTGCCCGGCCCCTACCCGCTGCTCCCCTACCCACCTGCCGCGCAGCCCCCGCCCGCCGCCGCCCTCTACGGCGGGGGCCTCCTGCAGCTCTGCGCCTACGGGCTGGGAGAGCCGTCGCCGCCGCCGCTGCTGCTGGGGGGCGGGCGGCCCGCGCTGGCCCCGGGCGAGCCGTCGCCGCTGGCGGAGCGGCCGCAGGCGCCGCTGTTCCACGCCGGCATCCCCAAGGGCGGGCGGGGACCGCCGCCCGGCTCCCCGCTCTACGGGCACCTCCGGCTCGCCGGGCCGCTGCCGCCGGCGGCGGGGGGCTCGGCCTCGTTCCAGCCGTACGCCGTGGAGACCCCCCTGGCTTAATGGAGCCCCCCTCCTCCCCTGCGAGGGACCTGCCCGGGGAGGCGTGGAGGGGGAAGGGAGGAGGCTCTGGATCCCGCACTTTAACTCCAGAGGCGACCACAGCCTCCAAGCAAAAGCCTCGGTGACTGTGCCTTAGTGAAATGACAGTGGGTTTAACTTAAGCCAAAAAAGAAAAAAAAAAAAAAAAAAAAAGGAAAGAAAAAATGAAAAAAAAAAAAAGAGAGAAAAGGAAAAGAAAAGAGGAAAAAAAAGGGGGGGGAAGAAAAAAAAAATCAGCTGTCGGTTTGGACATAGCCATGAGCCTCAAGTGCTTCTTACTGTTCGTTGACACTACTTGACTTAAGCCAGTCCCTCGCCACCTCCTTTCTATGCCCCTCTCTTGTCCCCACACCTCCTGCTACCGAAGCCTGGGGCAGCAGAGCGGGGGTGCCCCGCGGAGGGGCGCGGTGGCAGCCGCTGGGGGATGCGCTGTGCGCTTGGGAGGGCTGGGAGGAGGGAGGGGGCCGGGAACAGCAGGGAGAGAGGAGGGGAGGGGGCCGGGGTCTGCTGTGGAGCCGTAGGTCTGTACTGCAAAGCAATGCATCACTGTGCCAAAAGAAACCTTTTCTCCTGTCCGGCAACTAGCATTTCGTGGGAAGGGAGGATATTAAATTATTTATAAAAGTAGTGTTTTTAACACAAAGAGAGTGCAGCTTTTTTAATTAATTATTGGAGGGGGCGGGAGAGGGGAAAGGGCTCCAGGAAATGTCAGGCGTTGTTTCCTGTACTGACTGGCGTTCTACATATATGGTCAATACCACTGCTACTGGAAAGAGAAGAGTAATTTTTTTTCTTATTTTCGTGTTTGTATGTAATATATATATGCGTGTGCGTTTTATTGACGCTCGGCCACCATGTTTTTCCGGTTTTTTTCCTTTCTCCTTTCCCCTGAATAAAAGCTGCCCCCTAAATAAAGGCGGTAATAAGGAGAAGAGCGTGATGTCTGTACTGGCGTGAGGGAGGGAAGCCTGTCATGGGACAACCTTGACCGAGAAGCTTGGCTAGGTCTGCGGGGGCAGCAGGGCTGCCCACCCTTTCATCCCCATCCCTGCCGGCGGGTAGAGGTGCCACCTATGGACCCGCCTTATTTTAGTCACGGGAGATGAGAGGTTCTTCTCTTGGGCTGCCACCAGATATGAAAGTCCTCTGCAATTCCTCGAGTCAAATCAGAATTTCCCGCCGGCGCTCAGCCCTGCAGAAATGCTGGAGATTTGCAGGCGGGGCGATTTGCAGGCGAAGATCTTTGCAGGCAAACTGCCCGACGTAGGGGCAGCCTGTGTACATCTGACTTCCTTTTTTTTTTTTTTTTTTTTTTCTTCTCCTTTTTTTTTTTTTATTTTATTTTTTTCCCGCGAATGACAGCAGGCGCCGTGTAATCCTGTTGTCATCTCTCGGTCCAAGGAAAATTCACTTCAGGAAGGCTGCCGGCACTACAGGGCTCTGGCTGCTTCTGGTGGGGACATCCCGCTGGCACCTACAGCGGGCGAACACTCGGCGGGGTGAGGGCTGGGGAGTTTCTGCTGGTAATAAAAAGTTTGCACGCGTTGCCTTCTCTCGAAGGGCATTATGCTAAGCCTGATTTGTATTTTCAGAAGTGATCAGCAAAGCCTAAGAAGGGCTAAGTCGGAAAAGGAAAGATTGTGGGGCTAACTGCCTCTGCTGCTGAATTAGAAATCAGTGACGTCCTTGAACTCGAAGTGTTTATACAAATGCTGAAATGATCATTTGAGATTCGTTTGTTCGGTTGTTTGTTTTAATTAATACTTTAAAAAGTATGAAAATTGGCGGGCTTTTTTCCCTTCAAGTCCTCTGTAAGCACAGGTTACCTAAAAAAACGATGACAAGAATTTTGGGCGTTGGATGGTCTTCTCTCTAATTACATGTATTTCAAACCTTGGAGTTTCTCTCCCATCTCTTTTTCACCTCAGTACTGAGATTCAGCCGCTGACTAGCTTCTACCCTACTCACAAAAATTATTCTGAATAGCAAAGGTGTGTTGTGAAAGGAAAGCTTCAAACAGAACAATCTGCGGCCAAAAACACCGACTTGTTTCAATACTGCTCGAGCAGATTTCACGGTGTGTTTAGCTCAGACCATAATATCCATCAGAACATCGTGAGAGATTAGTGACTAATGTATGAAGTAATCCAACCCTTGAAGGAATTGGTTTTTATGTACACACGCGCATGCACACATACACACAATTTCAACATCATTCTGCCTTCAAGGCTCTGTGCAAATATTAATCTTTCCTTCCATAATCTGCTCTTTCCTCTGTATTTTACCGTCTCTTTTTTATAGGAGTCCACATGACCTGACAGCAAGCAACTCCTAGTATCTTTTGCTTTTGTCCATCTTTAAAGGTCATATTTCAGGGTATGTTAAAAGCATCTTGATGGAAACTGGAATTTGTTATTAGAAGCGTATAAGTATTTTAATCGGATGTATTTAAGTGCGAACAGGGATGAACTGTGTGTAAACGTATGCTTCACAGGATGACGTTGAGCTTTTTACTCTTAGAAAATAAGTACATTGAAAAAGAAAGGAAAAAAAAGAAAGAAAATTAAAAGCCCTCAGAGTTCGATATATCCCTTGTTAATAAGTATTCTATTCTGTATTTATCCTCTGTGAAACGCCATTTTTTTGATATGTCAAGAAACGTATGTCAACAGCACAGCAACAGGGGTAGATGTGTCCTTGAGGTCCTTAGCCCTTGCTTGGACTTCCTCAGACGGTCGAGCTGAGGGTTTAGAACAGTCCCCGGTGCAGAGCGATGGGAGCAGGGGGCAGGTATCGCCTGCTGGCCGGAGCCCGCTGGGCGGCTGGGGGGCTTTCCCTTGCTTAAAGGCAGGGAGGGTCTTTTCCGCCTCCTCCTGTTTGCGCATCATTCTCCTAAGAGGAGGCAAGAGACGAATTTCTCCCGTTGACCTTTGGGTGGAAATTATCCCATTCGCTCTACATCGCAGGGCACGCCGGCTCATTGCTTCCGAGCGAGTGCCGGCGCGGGGAGGCAGAAGCCGCTGTGCCGGTGCTGTGGCACGGCAGAGGCACCGCAGCAGCCCCGCCGGGCGGGCAGAGGGCGGCACGGAGCGGCCCCCGGCCGGGACCCGGAGCGGGCTCGGCCCCGGGGGATGGCCGGCCCCCGTGCACAGCCATAAATCCGAGCTGTCAGCTGTGACAGACGGCTGGTGAAACACAGCACCTGTCCAAACACTTTCCAGCAGCAGGTAATCAGAGAACCGACACTTTACATTTTTGTGTGGAACAAGCGCATTAACCATTTCACAGACCTTCCCGAAACAGCGATGTTTGTACGTCTGGGTGCTTTGTCTTTTTTAACGTCTAATAAATCAGGATGACAGAAGAGAGAAAAAGCCTTTTGACTCGTGATATTTGACACATCAGCAGCAAGCCAACACTTTGGCGCCACGGCCTTTTAGCCCTTCCGGTGTCTGCATCACCCACAGCAGGTTTGTTGGATGGGTGCAGTTTGTGGTGATACTCGAGGCATTTTTACACACTGCACAGGCAAAAATTAGGTCAGTAGCACAGAAAGCCTGACAGGAACAGGGAGCAAAACAAGTCTCTATCAGCGTGTGGGGGGATCCGAAAACATCCCATGCTGGCTGTTCCAACCCGCTGCAGTTTCTTCATATGCCTGGTGGAAACACCAGCCTGAGCAGAATTACTCATTAATTCAGATTCAGACCAGGCTCTGGTTTTAAGTGTTTTTTTGAAGAGAGATTTAGCTTTCCAAATAAATATATTTTGCTCCTGAGACTTCCCCCTCTATAACTGATTCATCTCTTTCAGGCTTTGAATGTTTTAACTTGCTTTAAAACGAAAATAAATAATCATACGTGACAATCAAAATATTTTCATCAAACATTTTGGGCAGCTTCTCCATATCCCACCCCAGCTATGGCAGATAGTGATTAAAATGTTTACCTGAATAATGTTAGCCACTAGTTAACTAACTAACTAGTTAGTTTAACTAAGTTAAAGTTAGCCTAGCCACTTTCCTAAATTTCTTCAAATGTAAACCTGATGAGCAGCAGAACTGCATCAATTTCTCCTTAATGGAGTAAGACCAAATTAATGGAAAGGAGATGTTTAAGCAGATTTTTGTGCACTTGAGGAATTAATGAACACACAGAAGAAATAAGCTTGCAAAAGTGATCTGTGGACATGATATATGTGGAGCTTGCATATATTACACAGAGTCCATGCAGTGAGACGGTACAATACTGCTGTGCCTTCCTTTATAGGGGAGACAAAGTTTTCAACTCTTGTATCTCAGTGAAGGCATGCCAGCAAGACAGAATTTTGATTGTTATTTTCCCACCAGATAAGTGAAACCTAATTTTCAGCAAGCAGACCTGATGAAGCCTGAAATTTGCTTTCAGCTTACCTTCCAAATCACACAGAAGATGTGTATCCCATCAATATCCATAATGCTACTCTGGAAGGAAGCCACCGAAATCAGTCATTTTATTCAACAGCCACCTCAGCACAGCAGTTCTAGCTACAAAACATAGATACTTAGTGAAAGTTTCTAAGCAAAAAAGTGCAGCCTTTTGTATCATACTAGATGCTGAGAAGACCGAAAAAAGTTGGACAGGATTTTGTCTTGGGAATTTGCAGTGTTTTGTGCCCCAAACCACTTTCCAAAGAGGTGATTCCTGAGGTCTGGATGTTTCAGGAACAGAAGATACTTAGAAAAAGAAATTACACCCCAGAAAAGGCACATACAAAGGACTCAGATTCACAGGCCCTTCATTTTCCACACCATGCCTTAAGAAGCCCAAGGTGAAACCTCCTACACAAGAGCGGGGTGAGCAACCACAGCCCTACGTAGAAGGGTAGTGCTTCTAACCAAGGTCGACATTTTGCACAGCTTTTCACTGGGCTGGGGGATGTGTTTCATTTAATGACAGGCAAGGGAATCAGTCCTTTTTTTGCGCCAGGCTTTTTGCCTTTTAAGTCTGAAGTCAACAAAAACACAGTTGAAATCCACCTCCAGCCAAGTTCAAGGCACTAAGCTGTAATTTTGGCAGAAGTGCTTGTTGCAACTTTGCTGAGCACTACAGTAGCTCTGTAATGATGGGGTGAATATAGTTCCATCTTTCAT